TGTCTGAAACTCTCGTATAAGCTGCGGTCCTCGAAAAAGATGTTATCCTTGCCTTGTTTAAACGACGTGAAGGCGAGTGGTTAACTGGAGGCTTTCGTCTAAAGTTAGGCCCGGCTTAACGTCCGCCATAATTTATTTGGGCACTGGGTTTCACGGCGCATGCGCGATGTCCACCTTTGTAGGGGGCAATATTTGGAAGGACTGAAAGGAATTTGCTGTCCATTGTTCAGAATGGAGACAACTTGTGCATCAGGCTGCATTAGCCTTTCACACCCAAAGTCTTATTGATGACGCAGAACGGCGGCAGAGAAGGTAAGAAACCCTGTTTGGTATTTTCCACGACCTCATGGGATGCGCTGGCTCATGTGCGTAAAGACCTGCGCCTCCATTCAGTCAAATGAAGATGTAGAGCGGAAACTCAGGACCCTGAGTAGATTTTATTGTTAAATCAAGTGACTGCCAAAAATAACGAGGAGCAATATGTAGCAGCAAGTATGCACATCCTTTGCTTTGATAGGGAGTTAGAAAAGGGTGTTAATAACAGCAAATTCAAACCAAGGTATTATTTTTCTTTTTTGAATTGTTGTCCTGAACTGAGTGATGGATGCTGTAAACTTCTTTTGCAGATATCACATGGGGATTTGCTGACGGGAAACCAAAACCCAAGTACCACATGAAACTGACAGAATCACTTGGTTTGCATCATTAGCCTTTGTAAGTAAGTTCTGAATTCCAGATCTTTATCATATGCTGCACAAAATGTTTCTTCACATGCTCCCTGTGGCACCTCACCAAAATCTGCAATCAGTGTTTCTTTTATATCCAGCTAAGAATATTTTTTTTCCTTTTCTGCCATATATTAATCTTTTACAAACACCTTTATCTCATCCTTACTCATTCTGCTTCACTCCAAACAGACAATTTCATTTCTCTAGCATAACAATGCAACTCAAATACCTGATCCCTTGAACTATTTCGGTAAATCTCCTCTGGCTCTTCCCACCCTTCACAATGTGTGGTGATCTCTGGATTGCACAGACCCAAATGCTGTATGTTCCTGTGTGTGATACCGTCACACAGCAATAACTGCACAGTGATGTTACCCACCCCCCGTTGGATTTCCTCAAATATGAGATTTTTCTCTGACTCCAGTGTTTCTGATTTCTTTCCAACTGCAGCTTCCAACAGGAGATTTCAAAATGGTGACATTGTTTGAGAATTTACCTCATATAGATCTCTCCCCCAGTTACTTGTGCCCTATTATCTAAGAGAGATTCCATGGCTCTGGGACTGGAGTTGTCCCCTCCACAGCTCTGTTTAATCTCTTCTCTCCCTGATGACTTTTCTGCTATTGAATGGCTTTCTCGGGCTTTAGTGATGGATGTCTTTTACCTGTGTTTAGTCTTACTTCTGCCAACAGCGTCTAAGTAAGGTTTTCATTGCTGCCCATCCCCTGACTAGGTGCAACTATCTAACCAGTTTCATCGTGCTATAGGATCTTTTACAATTGGGAATTGTTTTTCCTGTACTATAATCCATTTCTGTTCCACCTCTGAGCTTGCATTGATCATCAAATTTGCACCAAGTTTGTTCACTGTGATTCATTCTGTACACCCTGAGTTAATTATACAATTAACTCTTTTTATCACTCCATAGATACTGCCTTTTTTTGCTGTTATAGGCTCGATGGGTCTGAGGGCCTTTTTCGTGCTAGAGACCATATGAATCTAAGACTATGTCTGTCTTCCAGAGTACCTCCAGCATTTTCTCTCTTTATTTCAGATTTCCAGCAGCTGCAATATTTTGCTATTATTTTATTGCATCCCTTGTTCATGGATCGGAGTCCAGAAACTCAGATGGACTAAGTAAGAGATGATTTGCATCAGGTTGGCTGGATGCTGGCTTTGTGTTTAGTCTCCATTTCCACTGAGATACTGAATCATTCAGTGGCTAAAATACATTGCAACTGGGTTTGATCTCTGCAAGACAACATCACCTAACCACACTCCCCTACCCTTTCACTAACAAGATTACCATACATTGCCCAATCCCCACTTATATGTGGAGAAGTGGATGTTTGAGCTTCTCAAACCATTGCAATCCATGTGATGTATATACAGGATGACAGAAGTCTTATTGTACACATTAAGTCCATGCTCCCTGCACCAGCTCTCCAATGAACATTATGACTTAGTGCTAGCTGCCTGCTTTCTCCCTGTACCTCTGCACATTCTTTATCCTTGAATAATCTCCAATGCCTTGTTGAATGCCTCAGTTGAACCTGCCTTTACTACATGTGCAGGCAGTAAATTCCAGGCACAAATCACTCATTGCATGACACTACTTTCTTGGATAGTAGGAACTACAGATGCTGGAGAATCGGAGATAACAAGGCGTAGAGCTGGTTGAGCACAGCAGGCCAAGCAGCATCAAGGAGCAGGAAGGCTGACGTTTTGGGCCGAGACCCTTCTTCATTTTCTGAAGAAAGGTCTAGGCCCGAAACGTCAGCCTTCCTGCTCCTCTGATGCTGCTTGGCCTGCTATGTTCATCCAGCTCTACAGTTTATTATCACAGTATTTTCTTGCATCAAATTTGTTCATTTTAAAGTCAATTTAAAACTCTGCCTTCTTGTCGTTGGTCCTGTTACAAATGGGAACTGTTTCTACTTATTGACTATCCAGACCATTCATAGTTTTGACATTTTTTTCTTGAATGTGCTCTGATTTGCTACGATATTGATAAGTAATAGGTTCCAAGTAATTTGCCTAGTGATGATGAAGGATTGGTGAAAAATGTACAAATCAGCAACATTGATTTGAAAATAATACAATGTTTCAAGGCATCTTGCACAAAATGTCAGAAAGCAGCTTTTGACAATGGGCCAAAAACAGAGATAATAGGGCAGGTGACTGAATATTTGGCCACATAATGAGGTATAAAGGAGTTTATAAGGGAGGAAAGTGAGGTAAAGAGGCAGGGAGGTTTTGAGAGAAAATCCAGAGTTTGTGGCCTTGGCAACTGAGGGAACAACCAACCAATTCATCTTGGGCTGAAATATTACTTCATAGTTGTGAATAGTCTGGTTCACCCTCAAACATTTGCCAGGGAGAGGGTTGGAGTCGGTGGTGATGGAGTGCCGTTTGAAAGAAGAAATAAAAATAATGCCTTTAGTCTTCACAATATCTAAATGGAGGAGGTATCTGCCTGTCCAGTCCTGGATGTCAGGCAAGCCAGGATGGTGTGTGATTGGGAGTTGAAGTTGTTCACATACAGTACACCTGCTACCCTGGGCCTTCTGCATGGTCAAAATTGACAGATTGGGAGTTTCTGTTAAAATTCTAATCACATTAAAATGATACCGTATCCCTCTCCTTCACCACCTGCCTGGCCTTTCTCTTATTCTCCCATATAGGCTAGAGCCTTATGTAGGTCTGGACTGGGTGTGGATGTTCTGCTCAAGTCATAGACCATATAAAATCCTTCATTTTCCGTCTCTCCCAAATCATTTTCTCTGTCCTTGCCTCCCCCAACCCTGTCACCCCAATAAAATCGAAGTTTTGTGTGCGACTAGAGCAAGTGGCAAGCTTCCTTCCCTAAAGGATGGTTGTGAATCTGTTGGGTTTTTGTTACAATCCAGCCACTTTCATGATAACTATCTCCCAGTGCCAGCTCCACACAAATTCCCAGATTCGATCAGCTCCGTTTTCTAACTTGCCTTTGTGTTTTAGTGCCTTCTCCCACACTCCTTTTTTTCATGCTTTTAAACAAATTCCACAGGATATCGGAAGGACAAGATTTACATTCGGGCATTTCAAACCACATGTCCCATCAGGATTGGACCAAGCCACCCAATTTGTCTTAACACGAATATCATTGGATTTTGACCATGGAAGGAAACAGCACCATTCTCAGTGGGGAGAAACCGTACATGTGTCCTGTGTGTGAAAGAAGCTTTGCTGATTCATCCGACCTGCTGGCACATCAGCGAGTTCACACTGGAGAGAAACCGTTCCACTGCTCCCAGTGTGGGAAGGGATTCAGTCAGTCATCTGACCTGCTGAAACACCAGCGAGTTCACACTGGAGAAAAACCATTCTACTGCTCGATGTGTGGAAAAGGATTTGCTTGGTCATCCAGCCTGCTGAGACATCAACGTGGTCACACTAGGGAGAAACCATTCACCTGCTGTGATCGTGGCAAAACATTCATTCACTCATCTAATCTTTTGGAACACCAGCAAATTCACGTTAGGGAAAAACTATTCACCTGTTCAGAGTGTGGGAAAGGATTCACTAAGTCATCTAACCTGCTGAGACACCAACAAGTTCATACAGGGGAGAGACCATTCAGTTGCTCTTTGTGTGGGAAGGGATTCACTCAGTCATCCCACCTGCAAGTACACCAGCGAGTTCACACTGGGGAAAGACCATTCACCTGCTCTGTGTGTGGTAAGGGATTCACTCAGTCAACACATCTGCTGCAGCATCAGCGAGTTCACACTGGTGAGAGACCATTTGCTTGCTCTGTGTGTGGGAAGAGATTCATTCGATCGACCAAACTGTTAACACACCAGCGTGTTCACACTGGGTAGAAACTGTTCACTTGCTCCGTGTGTGGGAAGGGATTCTCATGGACATCCATCCTGTTAACACACCAACAAGTTCACAAAGAACTATAGTTTTGAAAGATTTTGCTTTTACTTACACCAAGGAATGAACCAAGGTCATTGGGTTGTTTGTACTGATGTTATTAAACCCTGCTGTATTGAAGGTGCTGATATTGTGGATAAAACAGCAATGTAATTTTTAAAAATCTGTTGGGTACATTTTGGATATGATCCCAACTTGCTATGCATCACCGTTTTCACAATCATTAGAGACTGTCCATCTGCCCAGTGTCTGGATGGGGATTTTCTGATTCATCAGGGCTGGATGAACACCAGTGAGTTCCCAAGTAACTGTACAGGTTGGATTTTGATGCTATTGACATCCACCTCCAAATCATATTTGCTGGTGTCTGCTCCTGATGATGTTTGTAAACACCACAAGTCTGGTTGACTATTTGGGATCAAAATGGTATAGTTTGGCTTTCTGTTAAAACTATAGTGCACCAAGGCTTTATCATATCTATAAGGCAGATTAGTTGAGGGGAAGCCATCTGAACAACTTGATTCAAATTTATTTGAAGAGATGTCGAGGTGTGTCAATGATGCTTTTAATGTAGTCTACTTGGACTTGAGTAAGTCTTTTGACAAGGTTCCATGTGGGAGACTAATGCAAAGGTAAGAGCCCATGGGATCCACTGAAATTAGGCAAATTGGATCCACAATTGACTGAATAGCAGAAAAGAGAGGATGATGGTTGAGAGATAGATTTACACTGGGAAAATCTATGTCCAATGGGGTCTCAAAGTAGTTACTGTCGGGGACCTTGCTGGTTTATATAAACAATTTAGTCATTATAGGAGCATTGATCAGTTACCTTTCAGACGATATAAAAGGGTCCATGATAGGTCGTGAGGATGATAGCCGTCGATGACAGGGCGATGATTAGTAGCAAATAGAATTCAATCTGAATAAATACAACATAGAACTGTCCCCGACAGTAACTACTTTGAGACCCCATTGGACATAGATTTTATACTCCCCTGAGGGTCTATTCTCTCTCTTTCCCCCCACCCACCCCTGCCAATAGTATCCAAAACGGTATACCTGTTAGAGAAGGGAATAGCCACAGGAGACTCCTGCACTACCGGACTGCTTCCCCTGGCGGTCACCCATCTACCTGACTGAAACTCTAATGTAACCACCTCACTGTAACTAGTATCTATCTCTGCCCTCTGAATGTGCCTCACTATGTCCAACTGCTGCACCAAGCAAACAACATTGTCTGTGAGGAGCTGCAGCTGGTCACACTTCCTTCAGACATAGTCATCAGGGACATTAGACTGCTCCCTGATCTCCCACATCTGGCAGGGGGAGCACACCACTACACCAGCTGCCATTTCTGCCCCTTTACACTAAGAAAGATAAAAGAATCTTATCTTGCCTGCCTTTCTCAGTGAAACCCAGTATTTGCCTAACCCTGCACTTACGGGTTCCTTAAATTACAGTGCAATCTTTACAAGCAGACCAAATACCTCTAGGCTACAACAAACTTCCTATCAGTCTCTCTTAATGTGTCTCCTTTTATTTTGGTAGGGGAGGAAAAAAGGATGGAAACACTATAATGTAATGTTTGGTGCTTACTATTCCTTGACACTGAGTTCTTCCTCACTCCACTGATTAGTCATGTTGACTGCGCCAACTTCTCCAAGAATGCTCAGCAAAGTCTCTCAGCATCCTCTACTGGATGCCCTTCCTGCTGCTTATCACTGGAGGTGTTCTTCCTCAAAAATGTGAGCTTGGACAGGACAATTAGTCAGCAAGGTTAGTGGTTAACTGCAAGGTTAGTGATTCATAGACTAGACAATGATGGACGCCTTGTTGGTTTTTTCATACATCAACATTCTCCATGACATTGTCAATGGGAACATTGTCTGCAAGTTAATTCCCACAGATCTTGCTTGCTGTGTTAACCCATGAGTTGCCAAACACAGATTTTTAATGTCTGATGCTGTGATTTATGAAGAAACAAATTGGAATTTTGGCCTTAATTTCTAAGTGTTGGGTGTTAAAAATAGGGAGATCTTGTCATCACTGTACAAGATGTTTGTGATGCTGCTGCTGGTGGACTACTTACAGTTCTGGTCCCATTATTCGAGAAGTAGTATTTTGGTATTGAATGCAGTCTAAAAGAGCTTCAATAGGCTGGTTCATACAATAAAGGATTTGACTGATCAAGAATGACCAAACAGGTTAGGCCTTCATTCATTAGAGTTTGGAAGAATATGGGGAGCCGTTATTGAAACATACAAAATTCTGAGGGACCTTTGCAGGGTAGATGATGGCAAGACTTTTCCACTAATGAGTGAATCTTGGACTGGGGGACACAGTTACAGAATAAGGGACAGTAAATTATAACTGAGATGCAAAGGAATCCCTCTTTTCTCAATAGAAATTAATTTCTGGAATTGTCCACCCCAAGTCATGGAAATCAGATCACTGAAAGCATTTATACAGGAGGCAGATAAATTTTGAAATGGTGAGTTGTGAGCATTGAGGGTGTGACATTAAAGAGAAGTTGAGGTTTTGGGCACATCAGTCCTGATCTTCAAGAATGGCAGGCTAGACCTGAAGCAGAAATAGTCCATTTGAACACAATTGTGCTGCTTAATGAATGGGGCTTAATGATGGAAATATGGAAATGGGAATCCATTATACAGACTACACCCAACATTGGGCTTGAACCCACAAGTATGTGTTAGCCAGGCCACCCAAAACAAGCATTCAAATCCTATTTTATAAGGAGACAAATGTGGTATCAACCTGGTACTTCTGTGGGTTTTGAATTCCCAGGATTATGAAGGTAATTGTTTTACAAATTCCCAATGTTTTAGTTCATTCCTCTCAATCTCCAGTAACATCATTGACATATTCCACTTCTCGGATGTAACTCCTTCAGAATATTGTTATCCAATTTCAGTAATTGTTCCAGGATTTAATATTTAATACATATATTTAATGTTGCCATCCTCATCTTTAAGGATCCTGTATCACTCCCAGCTCACAACTCACCATTTCAAAATTTATCTGCCTCCTGTATAAATGCGAATAAATGTGACAGTCTGCCGCAATAACCCATTCATCTCTGTTACAGAAAGAACTGCTCCTCTGCTGAGTCACACTCAATGCTTTCATCAATTTCTTTGTTCTGCATGTCACCAACTTCTGCCGCTCCTCATTTTGTGGACTCGATTTTGAGATTTTGGTTACAAAGCACCTGATGACAGGAAGAATCTGCTGCAGCCATTGCCAAGTTTACAAAACCCCTTTCATTTGAAAAGAAACATTCGTGAGGAGGGATTTTCCACAACTATCAGCTCAGGTTTCCAAATTGAAGCTCCGAGATAGTGTGACTCCCTCTGTCTTGTGTAACTTCTACTCACAGGTTTAGTGAGTGCTCCCATTTGCTTGTTTTACTGGTGCATTGTTCTCTTTGCCTGGCATTTTTTTTTTACATTGCCTGAATCCTGTCTCTGTCAGTTTGATCCCTCATATTTGTTTAATGCTATTCCACTATTTGCCCCACCCCCCCCACTACACTCAAGTATGATGGGTGAATGGAATCCTGTTTGGTAACAAGGTGTTCTAAAAGGGGAACTGAGTGTCATATCTTGCTTCAGTCTGTGGCTTTGATGGATGTCAGTATAACTTATTTCTTACCAGTATTATTTGACTATCCCACTTCATTTTGCATTCCATGTTTTTAAAAAACTGGAAAAGTAACTTTTCCGCTTCTGTTGGTGGCTATGCTACCCAGCATTCCGGGTACTTTGGAAAGTCTCATATTCATGGAACGTGCAATCGGTGCACAGGTGTAAAGTCGATGCAGAAGCGAGCATACGCAGAATGAGTGACGACAACGATGGCGGAGATTTCCTTCTCAGCTCTGGAAAAATTACAAGTGAGGCGTGAGAGGGGAGGTGATGTATTGGGCGCGTAGCCAGATAGATTTCGTGATCTTTTTAAGTCAGATGCAAAACCCAGAAAACGACATTTGGACGGGCCGTTTGCGAGCAGTGAGATCGAATTAGAGACTGGAGGCTTTCATGCAAAGGCAAGGCCTCGGTGTGATGGGCACTGGGCAGCAGGGTGCAGGGGCTGCTCCCATCTTTAGGGGCAATATTTGGAATAACTGGGAGGAGCTTGCTGCCCATTGTTCAGAATGGAGTCAACTTGACCATCAAGCTGCATTAACCTTTCACACCCAATGTCTTAATAGGCAGAGCGGTGACACAAGAAAAGGAAAGGAAGCAAATCCTGTCTAGATTGATCTACTTCAGGGGACATCCTGCCCCATTGATCAAAGATCTGTGGCTCTTGTTAAGTCCCATGAAGACCCGAAGCAGGAACTCCTGACCCTGTGTAAACTCTCCCTCAGATCAAGGCATTTTCCAAGGAGAGGCAATGAGCAGCAGGGAACACGTGAGGTCATCCTGGAATAGGAGGGGATAATATTGTGAATTTCTATTCTGAATTGACAAGGATGGAGTTTTTGTGGTTAGAAAGGGAGGATCTACACACAGTAAACTCAAACCAAGCGAAATGTTTGTCTCTTCTGAGTGTTTATCTCCGACTGATAGTGATGAATTTTGTAAATGTCCTCGATAGGATTTTCAATGAGGATGCTGTGACATTACCTGTAGCCTTAGTATTTTCTGTACAGTGAGACTTTTCTCTGACTCCACTTTTTTGCTGATATCTTTCCAGCTGCACGATCGAGCGTGAGATTTCAAAACTGGAATCTGACATTCCAGAGGTGAGTATTTTTGATCATTCATCGACAGTTTTGAGCTGTTTCTGCTGTGCTGTGTTATCTTTGAGAGGTTTGATGTGTCTGGTGCTGGTGTGGTTCCTTTCGTAGCTTTTCAGGGCATTTTGGGTGTAAGTAATATCAGCAGATATTTAGTTTGTTCAGCTTCAAGAACAGACAAGTTTTTGATTTGAAATCTGCACGTTATTCACAAACTGAGAGAGTTTAAGCTCCCTATGGTGTGAGCATTCCTTGATGTGTGGAATTTTCTCACTCAAAAGGAACTGGAGAGAATCAATGAAGTAAAACTGAAGGATTTGATATGGTGGTGTAATTTCTGTAAATTAATGGTATTGGAGAGTAGGTTGCAAAAATTGTTTTGCTTTGAGTTTTAAGACTTTCGTCACTTCTTCCTGATGTACAGATGGCTTGTTTTCTTCCATCTTTAATGTGATAAATTCTGTTCTGTTGTGGTGGGGGTGGTAAGAACTGCTGTCTCATGTGAATATGTCTCAATGATAGAACAGTATGTTCTCCAACGAAAGAAAATAACGAACATTTATCAAGTCAGGTTTCATTCAAAATCTGAATTGTCCAAATGTCCCATCAGCTGGAGTCACAGCAGTTAGAAGAATTAATTCTAGAGGTAACAAAAGAACGGACGAGAGTTTCAGCAACAGGTGAGCTGAGATTGGAGTCGAGTGAAGTTGCTGAGGTGGAAAGAGGCAGTCTTAGTGATTATAGGGATATGTAATTGGAAAGTCATCTTGGGGTGAAATACTTTCTGGACAGCCTCAGATAGTTAATAGGTTGTGGGGTGCAGTTGATGAGAAGTGGAATTTGTCATCGAGATATGAAGACAATGGCTTCAGTCTTCCCAATATTTAAATTGATAAAATGACAGCTCATTCAGGATGGGACCTTGTGTGATTTGGAGGTGATTGTGTTCACGTTACCCTGCTATCCTTGTCCTTCCCGGAGGTGGGGAGTGAAGGTTTGGGAGTCTCTGTCAAAGTTCTGATCAAGTTCTAGACAAATGAATGAAGTCTCTCGCGCTCTTGCTCGGAACAAATTGGGAGGCAAATTTCGCAAAGGTGCAGAAATAATAGGGATGTTGTCATGGGTGACATCAACTTCTAATATAGACTGGAACCTCCAGGAAGGATCTCTGACTCAATATGTAGATAGGCCGACCAGAGGGGAGGCCATATTGGATTTGGTGCTTGGTAACGAACTAGGCCAGGTGTCAGATCTCTCGGGAGAGCATTTCGGTGATAGTGATCACAACTCCCTGACCTTTACTATTGTCATGGAGAGGGATAGGAGCAGACGGTATGGGAAAGTATTTAATTGGGGGAGGGGGAATTACAATGCTATTAGGCAAGAACTGCGGAGTATAACTTGGGATCAGATGTTCTCCAGGAAATGCACGACAGAAATGTGGAGGTTTTTTGGGGAGCAGTTGCTACAGGTACTGGATAGGTTTGTCCTGCTGAAGGAACCTTGGATGACAAGACATTTGGAACACCTATTCAAGAGGAAGAAGGAAGCTTACTTAAGGTTGAGGAAGCAAGGATCAGACAGGGTTGTAGAGGTCTACAAGGTAGCCAGGAAGGAAGTGAAGAATGGACTTGGGAGAGCTAGAAGCGGGTACGAGCAAACCTTGGCGGGTAGGATCAAGGAAAACCTGAAGGCCTTCTATGCTTATGTGAGGAACAAGAGGATGGCCAGAGTGAGGATAGGACCAATCAGGGATAGTGGAGGGAACTTGTGCACGGAATCAGAGGAGGTAGGGGAGGTCCTTAATGAATACTTTGCTTCAGTATTCACCAGTGAGAGGGACCTTGCCATTTATGAGGACAGCATGAAACAGATAGATATGCTCGAACAGGTTGATGTTAGGAAGGAGGATGTGCTAGAAATGTTGAAAAACATGAGGACAGATAAGTCCCCTTGGCCAAACGGGATATACCCAAGGTTGTTGCGGGAAGCAAGGGAAGAGATTGCTGCCCCTTTAGCAATGATCTTTGCATCCTCACTGTCCACTGGAGTAGTACCAGATGATTGGATGGTGACAACTGTCATTTCTTTGTTCAAGAAAGAGAATAGAGATAATCCTGGGAATTACAGATGGGTCAGTCTTACATCTGTGGTGGACAAATTATTGGAGAGGATTCTGAGAGATAGTATTTATGATTATTTGGAAAAGCACAGTTTGATTAGAAATCGTCACCGTGGCTTTGTGAAGGGCGGGTCATGCCTCGCAAGCCATATTGAATTCTTTGAGAATGTCACAAAACACATTGATGAAGACAGAGCAGTAATGTGATGTATATGGATTTTAGCAAGGCATTTGATAAGGTTCCCCATGGTAGGCTCATTCAGAAAGTAAGGAGGCATGGGATTCAGGGAAATTTGGCTGTCTGGATACAAAACTGGCTGTCCAATAGAAGACAGAGGGTGGTAGTAGATGGAAAGTAGATGGAGATCGGTGACCAGTGGTGTTCCGCAGGGATCTGTTCTGGGACCTCTGCTTTTTGTGATCTTTATAGATGTGGAAGGGTAGGTTAGTAAGTTTGCCGATGACACGAAGGTTGGTGGAGTTGTGGACAGCGTGGAGGGCTGCTGTCGGTTGCAACAGGACATTGACAGGATGCAGAGCTGGGCAAAGAAGTGGCAGATGGAATTCAACCCTGTGAAGTGTGAAGGTCGAATTTGAATGCAGAATACAGGGTTAATGGCAGGATTTTTGGCAGTGTGGAGGAACAGAGGGATCTTGGGGTCCACGTCCATATATCCCTCAAAGTTGCTACCCAAGTTGATAGGGTTGTAAATAAGGCATCTGGTGTTTTGGCTTTCATTGGCAGGGAAGTTGAGTTTAAGAGCCGCGAGGTTATGCTGCAACTCTATAAAACTCTGGTTAGACCACACTTGGAATATTGTGTTCAGTTTGGTCACCTCATTACAGGAAAAATTTTAGAGAGGGTGCAGAGGAGATTTACCAGAATGCTGTTTGGACTGGCAGGCCTTATGAAGAAAGGTTGAGGGAGCTAGGGCTTTTTTTCATTGGAGCGAAGAAGGATGGGAGGTGATTTGATAGAGGTGTACAAGATGATGACAGGCATAGATAGAGTGGATAGTCAAAGACTTTTTCCCAGGGCGGAAATGACTATTACGAGGGAGCATAATTTTAAGGTGATTGGAGGAAGGTATAGGGGAGATGTCAGGGGTAGGTTCTTAACACAGAGTGGTGGGCATGTGGATCGCGCTGCCGGCAGTGGTAGTGGAGTCAGATACTTCAGAGACTTTTAAGCAACTCTTGGATAGGCATATGGAGGATAGTAAAATGTAGGGTATGCAGGGTAGTTTGATCTTAGAAGGATAATAGGTCGGCACAACATCTTGGGCCGAACGGCCTGTACTGTTCGATGTTCTATGCTCTCTCCTTTGACTCCTGCATTTCTCTCCCTTTCTCTCTGCCTTCTTCCACCTCTCCCTCCTCCCATAGAGGCCAGAGTCTTGTGTGGGTCCAGCTCGGCTCATGGGTCTCCCTCCCCTCATGGTGTTACTGAGCCAATTGGGTTTTTACCATAATCCAGCAGCGTTCATGATCACTTTCTCCTGGGGCCAGCCCCACAAATTACCAGATTCATTCCCATCCATTTCACAACCTGCCTTGGTGTTTTTGCAGGTTCTCTCTCATTCCCTTCTTTCCGTTTCACCGCATTTTCACAGGGGGTTAGAAGTGGCAGATCTGCAGCTGAGAAGCATCACACCAGGATCTGTCAGACTGACCTGGTTTATTGTGACCTGAACATCATTTGATTTTGAAAATGAGAGGAAGATGCACCGTTCACAATGGGGAGAAATCATGGGAATGTGAAGGTTGTGACAAGGGTTTCAGATCCTGATCTGCACTGGCAGTGCGTCAGCAAATTCACACCAGGGAAGGGCCTCACTCAGCTATGCCACTTGCTGATACATCAGCAAGTGTACACAGGGGAGAGAATATTCACCTGCTCTGAGTGTGGGAAGGGATTCATTCAATCATATAACCTGTGGACACACCAGCAAGTCGACACTGGGGAGAAACTGTTTATCTGCTTAGTGTGTGAGAAGGGTTTGCTGATTCATCCAGACTGCTGATGCACAAGCGGATTCACACCGGTGACAGAACTTTTACTGCCCAAGACTGTGGGAAGAGCTTTAAGTGCTCCAGGGATCTGATGCGCTATCAGTGGGGTTCAGACTGATGAGAGACCTTTTAGGTGCCCAGACTCTGGGAGGTGTTACAAAGGTTCTGGTGAATTAATTTGTCATCAACATATTCACACTGATGAGAGACCATTCAAGTGTCCCACTGTGTGACTGGGTTCAGGACATCATCTGACTTCACTGTACACTGCCGGGTTCACACTGGGGAGATGCCATATTCCTCCTCCAAGTGTGGAAAGGCATTCGCAATGTCATCTACGCTTGTGAAACACCAGCGGGTTCACACTGAGGGGAGGCCTTCACCTGCTCAGAGTGTGGAAAGCAATTCACTCAGTTAACCAACCTGCTGAGACACCAGTGAGTTCACACTAGAGAGAGACATTTACCTGCTCTGATGTGGGAAGGGATTCACTAATTCCTCCAGTCTGCTGACACACCAGCAAGTTCACACTCGAGAGAGACATTCACCTGCTCTGACTGTGGGAGGGAATTCACTCAGTTATTCAACCTGATTAGACACCAGCATCTCCACAAATAACTCCAGTGACTGAATTTTGCTTTTAATTAAATCAGTTCTAAATGCCTTCAATAAAGTGTGAGGAACAGATAAATAAATGGTGTTTGCTGCTAAATATGAACTAGATTCATTCAACCCTGGGAAATTCTCTCCTCCTGAAGTCTTGAAGCAGGCTTTTTTTCATAAACTTGTGCTGTTGACGTTTCATGACACAAACAGCAGAAAAGAATATGGTGAAGGATGTGAAAACCGTTGGGGTTTCCCTGTGCAGGTT